ATGCATTAAAGGTGACTTTCAATGTTTAAATAAGGCATTATATTGTTTTTGACCATGCGATCATCTTACGGACCTCCGTGGGTCGTCCAATGTACCTTTTGGACACGTTTCGGCCACGATTTTGTTCGTGTTGTTGTATCTAGGGTAGTTAATATCGTTGCATTAATACTTCTTGTCCTGGACGTGTTTTTTTTTGTGTTGCTTACATATTAAATTATATGTAGTTACTAGTCGCGTCATGTAATTAGAACGCTGTAAGAAAGTGGAGAGGGTATGATTACGCATTTGCGCACCAAAGTACTAGGCCTCTATTCTAAATTGTTTATCGATAGAAAATATCGATATTTTCTAAAATCGATCTTACCCTCATCACTTCGCTGCACTGAGTATATGATCTGACCTTGACGCGTCCAATCACAGCGGGGCTGACCTCCCTGCACCCCACCGACTTTGGCGATTTTGATTCCAAACAAAATTTGTGTGATGCGGACTCTAGTGGGGGTGCTCCATGATACCGCTCCTCCACGGAGGTCGTCGATTGTGAATGTGTTCTACCCCTTTATTAAAAATAATACAACTACATTTTACTCGTTAATATCAACAATTCCCTAATTCACTGTAAAATTAAACTGAACATTCGATTATTGAATAAACAATCCACACAACAAACTTCGATACATACGGCCTCAGATTAGAAAACAAAATTTGTAATCTGAGCGTACAGTGTCTGCGGTTCAGTAAAACGTTGTTACCCGACCGATAAGAAAGAAAACACGAACGAAATGTATATATTTCCTTCAGAAGTTCGAGTAGTATTCACTCACAAAGATATCTTGGGAAATCCTCAACTCCGTTGCGTTAATGTAGTCATGACAAGATATTTAAAACCCAACTGAAGCCTCTCAAATGTATGTTTTTTGTGAAGGCATAAAGCCTTATTACATGGTGACCTATACTTCGACTTTTTATTAGCTGCAATAAAATGACGTTTCAAAATGTCATTCCGTAAAATAATGTTGACAGCCTAATTTCAATAGGGATGTGCTTAGGTTCACAGAAAATCTAATCGTTCCATAAGTTTTTTTTTTTTTTTTTATATTACTAGGTAGGCAAATGACTCTACCCCACCTGATGTTAAGTGGTGATAAAGTCCAAACGCGAAGATAGCTGGTACAGCAGTTATTAACTGCTACACCAACCATCCTCACCTTGCCGGCCCGCAAAAATGCTTCTTCACGCCTCTCTTAAAGGACCCCAGATTATAGGAAGGAGGGAACACGTGCGCGGGTAAAGAATTCCACTTACGAATAGTACGACAAAGAAATGAGTCGCCAAATTTCTTTGTTCGTGTAGGAATAGTGGCCACAGTAAGTCGATGGCAACGTAGGCCAGCGCGCGTGGTCCTCTGAAGAAAAGGTGATGGAGGGATAAGCAAGAATAGCTCCTCAGAACACTCGCCGTGGTATATTCGGTAGAATGCGCTTAATGATGCCACATCACGGCGTAATTGTAGAGACTCGAGTTTCTTAGTTGCCTCTTCATCGCCAATGATGCGGGCAGCGCGCCGCTGCAACCTATCCAAGGCATCGAGTAAGTACTTTGCGGAGCCATCCCAGAGGTGCGAGCAATATTCCACGCAGGACCGCACTTGTGTTTTGTACAACAAGCACAGTTGATCGGGCGTGAAAAAACGCAACACCTTGTTCAGGACTCCGAGTTTGCGTGAAGCTGTTTTGATCAACGTTTCGATGTAGTCCTTTGGATTCAGGTCTGAGCGAACTTCCATACCGAGCATGGTAATATTGCTCTGTAGCGCCAGTGTTGTGCCCTGAAGAGAGGGAAGGGGAAGGAATGGCGATGTTTTTGCCGTGAAAGCGCAAGCCTGAGTTTTCTTGGCATTGAACTCAACCAAGTTCCTAGTACCCCATTCGGAAATGTGGTCTAAAGCCCGATTGAGCTCAACGACAAGATTCTCCGGTTTCTCCATGGTTTCTACCTGTCCAGCCGCCGCGTGTCCAAAGTATCTCGCATGCACTGTGCTATCGTCTGCATAGCAATGAATATTCGCAAGTGGAATCAAATCATTGATATGCAGCAGAAAGAGTGTGGGGGATAGAACGGAACCCTGAGGAACACCGGCATTCACTGACATGAACTGCGAACTACATCCGTCCGTAAGGACGCGAATTCTACGCTCATGCAGGAAGTCAGCTACCCAGGCGCAGAGCTGAGCAGGCAGACCGTATGCAGGAAGCTTGGAGAGAAGGCTCTTGTGCCAGACCCTGTCAAAAGCCTTGGCGATGTCAAGGCTAATAGCCAGAGACTCTCCCCGCTTGTCTATAGCTTCACCCCAGATGTGTGTCACGTACGCTAGAAGGTCACCCGTCGATCGATTCGGCCTAAATCCGTATTGACGATCGTGAATTAGAGAGTAATCTTCTAGGTAGCGGATCAGATGGTTGTTAAGGACCCTTTCTAAGACTTTACACAACACTGAGGTGACAGCTATCGGCCGATAGTTGGCCGGGTCTGAGCGGTCCCCTTTTTTGGGCACCGGTTGCACATTGGCGTCTCTCCAAGCTTCCGGCACACGCCCCAAAGAGTAAGAGAGAAGTAAGAGAGAGAGAGAAGTAACTCATAATGATCATACTTAATTCTATTTATTATTCATATAAATAAAAGGCTGTATAAAATCTCAAGTTGGTACTGGTTTTTAGTTACGGTGCTACGATGACGCTTGTCCGCCATTTTATTTTATTTGTCATTCGCTCATTCGGCTTCTAACTTCTATTATGAGTGCACGAATAACTTTACTTTGACCACTGCGAGTTGTTTTAGTTATCTTTATTGTTAAATTTTTGTTACGTTGTGTTTGTTTTTCGTTACCTACTTATTTTTGTTAATCGTGACAGCTTTTTTTGTTTGTTACATCGAAGATATGGATGCTCAGTTGAGCACATCACAAGATGGAGATACATTTTTATCTCCTAAGAAAATAAGGTCGGTTGCACTTAGAGCTACACTCTAAGTGCAACCGAGAAACTTTGGGTCCGAAACGTTTAAAAATATGTTGTCGTGTCTCGACACAATGGAGCCAAATAAAACAATTCTTTAGATTAATAATAACTTTATAATGCTATTTTGTAAGTAAGAAAAAAATATAAATTTCTTTCTTTGGTCGGCCTTGCCTGTTTTCCCAGGAGTTTCAAACTTTCTATCATTCTTATAACCTTCGTTGACTATCAGATTCTCTGATTTTCCAGAAAAAAAGTAAAGAAATATGTAACGGAATAGTAATAATAACTTATTGACATGAAGCAATTAATTCAAAATTGGTAGAAAACCTGACCGAGTTGAACTATAATAACGTATCAAAAGAAATGGTCGTACTAAAATATTACCTATTTCATCTAGCCTAAAAATGTGCAATGTAAACAATGCCTTTTTTGGTCTCAAAATCGTAAATTGAGTAAATTTGTAACTTCAGGCAGATTACAAACAAATAGTTACACGACTACCCGTCAAAGATAGAGATGGAAAAAACGGCTTATTTCTTAAAAGCGTTTAAACGTTGTACTTTTTAAAATAAGCGCGCTTGAAAAAAAGCTTTTTCGTTTAAACGCTTATTGGCTTAAACGTTCAAAAGCATGCGTAAAAAGCGCGACGTTGTGTTGTGTTTTCGTTTAGGTATATCGTTTAAAAAAGCGTGAAAAGTTTATTGTCGTTTTTAATGTGTTTAAGTGTTTTATTGCGTTTTTTCTTCTTATTAATGAAATTTTTACTAACAAGTTTTTTTAAACCTAATGAATTGATTGGCATTAAAAACGAAAGATTTTCAATTGAATTTAGATTTTATAATAAACATTTTTATAATAGTCAATGAACTTTCCTTCGTACTTTACAAGCTTAGGACTGTCTGGAGTTAATATACTCGACTAGTCGTGATCCAGGCGTACTTAAAAGTTCATTGATTTTATATACATACTTTTAACTATTTTATATGCACATTAAACCAATACACGAAACGCATTAACACAAGCAAGCATGCAAACACACCGTACAATACCCACGCGCTCTTACCCCGTCACAGTGACAAGCGTACTGCTGTTCGACTTCGTTTAATTAAACGCTTTTAACGAAAAAAGCGTTGGTTATCCGACCAAATTTTAAAAAAGTGCATTTTTTTACGTCGCATTATAATAATTCGCATGCTGTATTAACCGGCTCACGAAAGATGGCACGCCGACGCGGCGCTGTAGTCGCGCGTTCTATGTCTGTGATATTGTGAAATATTTAGTTCCAAGGAATTCCGCGTACCCATTTTTCGAGACTATAGTGGACTAGAAGGATCGAAGTATGTAGTTTCCTGGCAAAGACATAGATGGCGGGATTTGCACTTTTTAAGTAAAAAATATACTTGCACTTTTTTAAGTGAAAAGCTTACTCACACTTTTTAAGTGAAAAGCTTATAACGCTTATACTTATAAGCGTGCTTACAAGCTTAATATTTTAAGCGCGCTTATTTAAGCGCTTTTCGTTTAAACGCCCACCGCTAGTCAAGATGCTGCTCGCCCATAAACATCGTCCAAATCCCACAAAATTCGTCCAGCTTGGTAGTCTTCGAAACATCGCTGGAAAACTTTAAAAATCACTTCCCGATTTACTTTACTCATTTTTATACCTTTCTGCGTAGTTTCGTCTTAATTTATTACAGTTTAATTCAAACAATAAAAAATACAAAAGGAAAACTGTTCCACATCTGAAACTCGATGACAGCTGATGTACATAAGTTTGGTGTTGCCAGACACATGAATAATGTTAGTTCCTCAAACATTCATGTCACGACTTTATAGACAAACTGTACGGCTAGGCCCCAACAAGGAAGCGATGTTTCATAAAATCGATGTAGCGCTTTTTTTTTAGTCTGTGGCTGTTTCTGTGCATCCCTACTAAAAAGGAGGGAAAACCGCTCACTGTCACTGTCTGTCACATGATTGACAAAAAGATTCGTTTGTTTTTGATGATTACCTGCCTGTGGAACTATTTTTACTGTACGATTTGAATAGTATTTGTGTAGAGGTAACTTCATTTACTTAAGTGGTAATTAATCTTTTGGCACGACGCTAATAATACAGTAAAAATTGTGAATATCACGATGAGTGCTCAAGAGGTACAGTTCATTTGCTTGTGTATTTTTGTACCTGCAGATAAAAATTAACACTATAGGTATTTAATGATGAATCAAATCACAGGAATCCACAAGGAGTACCAGAAAATCTCTAAAAACATTGCAGCATTCTGCGGGCGACCGCGAAAACTTAGTGGGTAGACCAGTAAAAAATCTGAAACATCAACTCAGTCAAGAATCGCCCATGTATGTCATCTTTGTTATGTTTTCTTCATACTTTATTATTTTGTAATGTAGATTAATTAGTTAGATATTGTTGTAGAGATGTAGAAATCAAGCGCAAAAACATTTCTACTAAGGAAACGCAAGCAAATCTGGACACGAAAATATGTGTCGACGATCTTACAAATCCTGAGGGAGCCTCCGAAAAGTACTGGAAAATATTAGCGGAAAAACGGCAGTAAGTACATTTACTCTGAATTTGTGTGTTCATTTACAAAGTTACCATTTAGTTTTCCAATTTCAAATTCTCTATTTTCTTGTAGGGTTGCACTTCAGGAGGCTTTAGATGAAAATCAAAAATTGTTAAAAATTATCGAAGATTTGAAAGAAGAGAATAAATTGACCAAACAAATGTTGGAAGAGGCTAACAGTTTCATTGAAGTTGTTAAGGTAATATAATAATCATGATATTTACATTTTGGATTCATATAAAGAGTTAAGTTACACTTTGTTAAGTTTAATGTTGTCAATAAAGCATATTTCCTAACAATAGGGCCGATTCTGGCATGCTTTCCTGAACCTAAAATTAAATTTGACTTCAGTGTGTCATGTTTCCATACAGAATTTAAGAGAGTGATATCAAATTTAATTATAAGAGAGGCATGCCAGAATTGGTTCCTTCATAATACTAAATCTCTTTTTAGGAGGAACTAGCAAATAATAGTAATGATACTGGCATTGATGTGAATGATGTTAGCACTGCTGATGAAACAGATCACCAAGTACTATCTGAGCAATCTCATGCTGAAGACTGAGGTTTCCAATTTCAAGAGTGGAATAACATTATGTTCTATTAGTGAAGTATTTAAATGTAATTTGATAAATAAAAGTTTCAATGGTAGTTTTGTTTCCTATGTATCTGACCAAAAATTCAACTTTGGGTCTAAAATGCCAATAATTTTATTCTTCATTAATTCATATTTTTTTTTTAAGTACATGTCAATAAGTGGTTATTTTATCATTGTTGTGTATCGTATTTATTTGATGTTTCATGAAATATCTTGACATTTTATGTTTTGAAAACAGAAACATACAATGAACAATTTATTTTAAACATGCTTTCTTACTATTTTAGAGTCCTGATTAAAACTCAAGTTTGTTTGATTGGCAGTATACAAGGAAATTCAAGTATATCTATTTGTTGGCTTATTTAATGTCCAAGTTTTAATTTGCATTTAGTCAATATTAAATTGGATTTCTGAGGGTTACTACAACTTAGTTCATTTACAGGAAATAAAATTATCAAAATATAAATATGTTATTTTATTATCTCTGAAAAAACTAAATCAGGTACCTACATGACCAATATAGAGGTCACCTATGCTAGTTAAACAAGTATTAGTAGTTTTGCTAAATAGTATTAGAGTCAATTCTGGTGTGATTCTCTAAACTTAACATTAGTCTCTACTTTTCATTCTGTATAGAGAATCATGCCGGAATCAACACCATTGATACGAAAGTTAAAAATAATTTTATATTTTATACACTAAATATAGTTTGTGTTCCCATTATATGTTTCGAATAAAAAACTATAAATAATGATAAGGCAATGCTTAAAATCTAAAAGGCAAAAAGATTTTTATCAAACATGTTTAAAATATTTTTCACCATTATAGGTTTTGAATAAAAAACTATATAAATAATGATAAGGCAATGCTTAAAATCTAAAAGGCAAGAAGATTTTTAAACATGTTTAAAATACTTTTCAACTAAATAACAATAAAATATTTGCTACAGTATTTATCATTGGAGTGAAGTATCTCATTAGTCTGATATCAGTGATCTATTCAGCAAAAGAACAGTCTCATTAAAATCTTTTGAAATTAGCCTCTTAAAAAGAACAACTAATCTGGGTCAAAATGGTTGTATAAGTTGTACCAAAATGATAGTGTTATAGTCTATTTTATATTTAATTTAAACGACAAAATATTTTGATGAAACAGTGTAACTTTCAATAAAACATGAAATTCATTGGTTAATCCCTATGGGTAAGTAGATATCACCAGTCAAATTAATAGCTATTAGATTCAGTTCCATCCTAGGTGGTAAAATTTAAACATGTTCATACAAAATTGTCTAATTAAATTATATCACAATACTGATATTTCTATTCTCTTGTTCGCAAAAATGCTTGGAATTGTTCATTAAATTTTGATTCATGTGTCATTGGCATCAAATCTGGATACATACTAATATGTCTGAATACATCAACATCAACTTGTTGAGGTAGAACAGTTCTGACTTTCTTGTTAAGACAACCAGTAGCATGAATATAATGATTAACTATTAGAGAATAAATGAAATTTACATATTTATAATCCAAGTTATCAGTTACATGTGGATCACTTGCATTACAGGATCTAATTGCACTGAGATAGCCCGAAGTTATGATGGGTACAATATAGTCAGCCTGAAACAGAAAATATATTCATTTTAGCATTATCTTTAGTTTTGTCTAGAATTGAAATTGGTTTGAAAGTCATTTGATTACTACTGTTCTGTATAATATGCACATTTTTCATTATTGAATACAGCCATATAAATACATTGCAGCAAATGCATAGGCCTGCAGGGTTCATTTATGACGACCTCCGTGGTCAAGTGGTTTGTACGCCGAGTTTCATGGTGTCGCCGACTCGAGAGGTCCCGGGTTCGAATCCCGGTGGGGGGCAGATGTTTGTGTGAGGAATTCGAGCATTTGTACTCCAGTCATGGATGTTTAATATGTATTCCTATATAAATATACTTATATATGTACAGTATATGTATTCTATCTGTTACCCTAGCATCCCATAACACAAGCCTTACAGTGCTTACTTTGGGGCTAGGCTAATTGGTGTGTGTCGGAAATATTTATTTATTATTTACTTGTCCAATATAGGCTGAATGCCACTGGTTGACCACAGATATAAGGTAGCATGAACTTTTACCACCACAAGCAGCACTTAGCCAGTGGCTCAATCTGTTCTTGCCCAAGTTAACATATTGGGTTTACCAGATGCCATAATAGTTGCTCAACTCATAAGTCAAACTTAAGGCTAGTATTTTTAATATTTTTCGGTATTTTAGTTAAATAAATATCACTTACAGACATACCTTTTCAAAATATTCCCTAATGAATTTTTCTGGATTTTGGTATACTTCATCCCTTTTGTCAGTCAATGTTATTACTGTAACTGGTTCCATGTCAGTCCAATTCTCAACATAGTCTTGTATATTCTGTGCTGTTTGATTACCATCCTCAGTGAAAGTTAAGAATAAAATAGGAGTGCCATTTTTATTTTCTTTGTCAATTTTCTTTGTTTGTTGCCTAGGTTTTGGTTGATTTGGTTTATTAGGATCTTTGTTTTTTATAACTACATTTTTGTTCAAAGCAGGTGGTAGATCATTGGGTAAATTTTTTGACAAACTGATTATTTCTTTATTACCATTACTTTTGCTATTGCTGTGATACCCACTGTCATCTTTATTGAAACATTGAGCTAAATCTAAAAATGGATCTTCAATGGATTTGAGGATATCATATCTTTTCAGGATAAGTAATGCATCCACTATTTTATCCAATGTAGCTTTCTCATTTTGCATGAAAACTTTTAGAACGACATCCACAGGGTCATCTTTCACAGAATTCTTTATGTACTGGAAAAACAAATTTGTAATCAGATTATGTTCGAAAATTTGAAACTTCTCTGGCAGATATGCAAAGCTTTAGATTAGATTATTTTTAAATGAATAACAACAATTGATATAGCATGAGAGGTAGTTAAAATCTACCTAAACATACATATGTACAGATACAAAAAATAGCTGTAATTTTAGCAAAATAGATCTGAAAGATCCTTCAGTAAATAAAAGCTAAAGCCTTCCTTAGAAGAAGAAAAATATTTGGAATTTAATTTAATTCAATTCAGTCACATGTTCTCCTTCTAGTGTTATTGCAAGTGACAGCTAGTTTCATCAAACTTCAAAGTTAATTAACGTTTGAGTGTAGCCATTAGAAAGACACATAAAGAAGTATTTTTAATGCTATAGGTATGGATATGCCCACAGACAGTCGAAAGTAAGATAATGATTTTGAATAGAATGTATCTGTATATGTACAATTAAGACTATTTGTCTGTTCTCTCATAATCACTAACGAGGATAAAGGAAAATAAGTAATCTTTTAGATAGTGTTTTTCATATAATTTTTTGTATTTTGTAGGAAGAAGCATGTTATAATGCATTACATCTTTCACATGTTGAGCCAAAAAAAATTGTTTTCCTTTTATTGTTGTTTGTAGTTGGAAAGCAATGTTGTGTGCGATTGCCCAGAATCTATTTATAGTTATTATAGTTAATTTGGCCATGTTTAAATAAAAATTGCATCATTAATGACACTACAGTCATAAAGCAATAAATATGAAATATGTTATTCAAAAAATTTGTTTACGTCTTGTGAATTCTGTTTGTACTACAAAAAAATATTCATCATGGCATTTTAGACAGGGATTACAAAAAGGTCAACATTATTAACAACACTAGATTTAATTGTTTGATTACAATTCATGTAAATTACAATATTTCATTGAAATTATTTATTTGTTTACATAATCTACGTAATGATAGCCAGCTATTTGATATTCAAATTCCGTCAAATTTGTAATCACTAGTTAGCGCTGTCACTGCACACCAGCGATATTACACGTAATGTGATTATCAAAGATTATTACTCACGTCTAGATCTGATCTTGCTATTTGCAAATGCTGCCCCAAATCTCGCCATCCATTATGAGTTCCCCCTATCCGTTTTAATAAAGATTTCCAAGCTTCATAACATATAGTTCCCATTTTCGATTTTGGGTTTCGATAGTACAGTAAACTTGTATGTAAATGACAGACTTTTTTACTTAGAGATTTTAATTCGTTTAATTCCTGAGCTCTTTCTTCAAGCACCATCTTTTCTAGAGCCAATGTGTCTATACTGATCGTATCAGCATTATCTAAATCATTTATGATATCCCTAAAAGTAAATCACATTTTATGTAAACTTAAGTTCAATAAAAATAAAATATACCATTATTGCTAACTGCAATATTGCAGTAATATGTACTTACATGTTTATAATGTGTACTTACATGTTACGAGGCTTTTACTTGTACACAATTTTATGAACAACCTAACCTTTCAAAAAATCTACGAGGAAAATAAAAATACAAGGAAAAACCATTAAAAAATACCACGCACAGAGGCACAGATTAGATAGATACCACGATTAGGGATGAAACGATACGAGTAAATACAAGTGACTACTCGATACTTTTCTTTCGATACCAAGTACTTTTGGTATCGATACTTTAGAACTGAGTAACAAGTAGTATTGTGAAGTACTTGTGTCGCTACTCAGTCGGTCCACGGTCGGTCACTCACTGAGAAGTATCAAAAAAATCGTAGGCAGACTATTTACTATATGGTAAGGTGTCTAGTTGGAATAGGCTAGTTGACACTTTTTGGAAATATGTTTTAAATGGTTAATAATTGTTCTATTAGACCAAAAAAAATGAAATGTAATTTTTTTGCCCTAGAAAGCTTAAAACTATATTTTTAAAATTAATTTTTCATGGACATACAGAAAGTCATGGCCATTTTAGTCTATAGATTTATCTATGCTATGACGTCAAAACATTTGTAAACAAACACTCGCAAGCACGTAGGAAATAACCTATCTGAGATTATATTATAAAGCCATGATTTCTACTAGGTTAAATGAAAAATATAATAATTATCATGACAGATCCTGGACTGCGGTAGTCTCCTTCTGCAAATAAGTTATCTTTCCGAAGGAGACAGCGGAAATTGCCTACGAGGGAGACGCCCGGCCCGGCCCTCTCCAACGCCGACGGCAGAGTGGAAGGAGGATGCATTACGCGCGCCTCTTTTCACCCTAGTGAGGTTAGCGGACGGTGGACAGGGTGGTCTGCCATCCGCATTACATAGTCTCACCCGTCAAAGGCGGATGCCTTGGGTGCTTCCGGGCATCCCCCTGAGCGCCACGAGGAGGAGAAACCCCTGCCGGGGTAACGTGGAGAGTCACCAGGATCCCACGACACCCGTTCCGGCAGGAAGAAGTACTGTTGGGTTTTTAGTGGGTAGGGCCCCCTCCTCATTCCGAGCAGCTGCTGATCGAGTCCTATGGGCCGGTTGAGCGGGTGGGCGGGATTTGGGGGAGAAGGAGTCCCACATAACTCCGTCTCTCACCCAGGGGTGGCGCATACGCCACGCATTTTCCGAACACAAAAAAATGCAATATAAATTTTAACTTTTCATGGTACTGTCCAGACTACTGTACAGACTACTGTCAAGTTTACTTATAGCAAATACAAATAGCCAAGTGAAGTGCTTATGGTGGACGTTATTTTCCATCCGCAAATCCTCTTGTTAATGTAAAATTTACACAAAACCATTCTATTTATGTATCTAAATGCAACAAATAAAGAGATAAAAGTCTGTGGTTCTAAAAATAATAGGAATAGGGTGTATGTCTGATTGATATGATTGCCTATTTTAATACAGAGAAAAGTGGAGTTTTTAGTGGCATTTCATCAACTCAACTCAAACTCATTTATTCAGTCTAGGCTGTTACATAAGTCAAACGCTACGCCATCCGTTCGTAAATCTACGGCGGCAGACGAGGTCTATAGGTTGTAATGAGAAGGACCGGCAAGAAACTCGGCAAGGGCTATTTTTTTCTCCATGTTTGACATCAAAAACTTAAAACATGTGTTGATGTCAACTTTCATCATCAAGTGCGGTTGGCGTCTTATTTTAATTATTCTTTAATTCGTTCATAGTGGATATTTTGTGATTTTGTGCTACAACCGTCTACTTAACTAAAGAATTAGTGGAATCTTTAAAATATACGCTATTCCGGTCAATCGGACGTAAGAACTTTAATTATACGTCTTCTTTACGTTTCACGTTGTAGTCAACACTACAGAGTGTTGACTACCGCACAGAGGCTTATCGAGAAAGCTGACTCGATACATTTCGTGCCAAACACTCCAAGAAAGAAAATTGGAAATTAGGCTGTATGGACGTTGTTCCTTTTGCCTTCCTTAATTAGAGAGAACGTTAAAAAAAAAGAAAGATTTCCTAACTAAAATGGCGGGAGAAGTCAAATCTTGAAGCGTTCCAAGTTGCTTTTTATTTCTAGGAAAAACTATGTGTACCAATCTGTAAGTATTTGTAAACTTTAGCAGTTATTTAGGTTAGGCAAATTTTCTTATATTTAATAATTTTTTGTAGTTTAATTACATTTCCAATAGAAATCGTAGGCATGTGCTTTTATTATACCTTATTATATTTACATGTAGGTACCCAGGTCTTAAGCTCCGCACTGATCCAAATAACGATTTAGAAATTAACAAGTTAACATAAGCTCTCCTTAATCTCTTTTTTTATGTTTACCAATTAGTTCTAGCTTCACCGATGTGCTTGGAGACGAAATACCCGATTCACAACCTATATCATTTGGATCTAGTGTCGAAACACAATCGCGATTTGACATCGAAGAAAATGCAAGATATACTAGACCTGTTAAGGGAACAGGACAAGTTGGAAACTTTCGAAGTATAGAAGAAATTGGTAACGTGTCATCTTTGATTATTTACTGGCATATTGAAACTTAAAATAACACAAAAAATAAGACACACTTTGTCACAAAAAAATCTCAAGTAATATGTGCAATGATATTGTAATGTAACGTGTAACATCTTAAATACTGTAAAGAGGTAAGGCTTGTAGGGTTGTAGGCTTTAGATACGGTACGCTCATACTAGCATCAAATAAAATACGATCCGACTCAACTACATAAATAACTCTCGCTACGCACACGTCTGCACGTTGCACATATAAACATCAATCGAGCGAGCGAGACAGAACTATACGCTTCGACGCAGCGTATTGTTGTCCTTTTCTTGCTTACAAAATGGCGATTACGTAAATAATACTCACGACAAACCGTGATTTTGGGAAAAAAAAATGGTTGCCTGTAAAGTCGGTTTTACGGGCGAAGATTTTACGTGACAACGTCTTTTTCTCGGTAGAATATTTATTGATATGAATATAATTAAATTGCACAATAGGAACAAGGAATTGAATGAAAATAAGAATTGCACAAATTTTAACTATAGAAATATATTTTGTTTACTAAAACATTGTACATGTAAACTTAAACTTAACACGAGAGACTCATCGTAACGTTACCGAGCGTTACACTTTTTCATAAGTGACTCCCAGCCGCAACCTAATTTAAGACGTTGTCACGTCAAAAAATGTTTTCACAGTTTTACGAATGAAAAGTGTTGCCAAAATTTGATTTTGAACTATTTGTGTTCTTTATAAAAGCATCGAAGGCATTGTTATATCTTCATAGCACAGAATATACGCAATATTGTTATATTGAGTGTTCATGCAGCGTGTTTGGATGTCAAATTGTGACTAAAGCGAATTATGGTCGTGGACCACAATTTAAGCGGATCACTTTTGAGCCACGAATGCCGTATCTTCCCTTTTTGTTTTATTCTAAGGTTGTAGGGGGTAAATCTCTGGACTTACAGAACCAATTTTATTTGTACCAATAGAAAGCCACGTTATTTGTGTGTGTAATAGACTATATAGAACATAATTAGCAAACATGAGTTCCGTGGAACACTCGGTTGGAAAGAAGTTAATAATAAACATAAGTATCAGATCCTTCGTGCACAAGGCTACGCAAATCTTCGACACCTGACGACTTTGGTTTCTTATGCCCTTCGTTATAAACATGGAATAAGCTTCGAATAGTTACGCCATGTGTTTGAAACGCATCATGGAGTAAGTAAAACAAGCTTTTTCTTCGTTTATTAATTAAGCGGCAAGCGACTAATTCATAGAGGTTCGTACCAAGTTCGTACACATGCACGCATTGCGGACATTTTGTTTTGGTTTTGTATCGCGGTAGTCGCATAGACACTAAAGTCGTCAGGTGTTGAAGCTTTACGTAGCGTTGTGCATGAAGGGGCTAATAACACAACTATATACAATATACTACAAAACAACTGACGATGGCAATGAAAAAGAAATATGCTTTTTTCGCCTAGCCCCCATCCGCCATGACCGTACCGTTCGAAAAGGAACTTTGGACCAAAGTGAGACCCGGCCACTAGTTATTTATTAGTGGGCCTAAATAATCGATGACAATCTTGTTTCAGATCCCAAATATAGACATGTCTTTACATATCAATACTTCAACTTGGTGCAGTCTGGTGTGATAGATGATGCCTTATACACAGGTCAGATCAATTAAGTACCTAAAAATCAATAAATAAGTTTTAGAAAAAAATAACCGAAGTACTCATCTGCTTGTCTTCTTTTTAGATAAATCAATGGTTGTTTGCGCACCCACAGGATCAGGCAAAACAGTAGTTTTCGAAATGGCGATAGTTCAACTATTGATGGACATTGAAAATAAAAATGACAGGGATAATTTTAAAATAATTTATAGTAACTATTTGTTTATCATACTAACTAAATAATAGCTTTCCTTTATTTGTAAAAAAATATATAAATTCAATCAAAACGAAACAATTGAAAGCATCATTTGTTTAATAAATTGCATCATACCAATCATACACCATACTCCTCATATTCCAGTGGCCCCAGTAAAAGCACTTTGCACAGAACGACTTACCGAGTGGTATTCGAAGTTTAACAAGATAGGGCTACTGTGCATCGAGGTCACTGGCGACACTGATATAGAATTTGGACAGTTGCAGCCCTATAAGTAAGTGTTAGTCCGTTTTACATTGCCTTGTCTTTTTCTACAAGCTTTAGGCTTAAGCTTTTACATAGAAATCCTTCTCTAGATAATTTGTAATAAATATCGCTTGATTCTACAATAAAAACTACCAGTGTAAATTATATCTATACAATAAATTATCCTTTTTATTTTAATTATATCTATCATTCATATAATGCAGCAAGTACTATTTTATTCAAAGGATTATAATAACCACTCCTGAAAAATGGGACATACTCACAAGAAGATGGAGGGACCACAGAGGTTTAGTTGAGATGGTGAAACTCTTCCTTATAGACGAGGTGCATATCCTGAACGATAATATTCGAGGGCCAGTCCTTGAAGCTGTCGTCAGTAGAATGAAGACTATAGAGGTTTGTTGGTTATGTTATGCAGCATTTCCACTCAGTGCTCAGAACAATTCTGAGCGAGCAAACATTTGCTCGCATTCGCCCGGTTAAATAGAAACAGCAGTATCCTTACCTAGTGATTTAAAATAAAAAAAAACACATTTTTCGACCATTTTAAAAATCATGAAAAGAAACGTAGGACCGTCGATTTTTTCTAAATTTATATTTTAATTAAAAAAAACAATCTTTGAAAAATATAGTCCGGACGCTCAGAGATTGCGTTTCTGACAGGTCGTGTCAGTTCCTTATTGTGATAGCATTAGAGTTAATTTTCGAACCTCTTTTTTATTAGATCTAAAGTGTACTGTATTCTGTCGCCATAAGGAACTGACACGACCTGTCAGAAACGCAATCTCTGAGCGGCCGGAATAACTATTTTCCAGCACGTCGTGAGTGTTGCCAATTTTTGAAGGCTTGGTTGGTAATTTTCAATCAAAAATGTGTGGTAGGTTTTCAAATAAACAGAAATCTTTTATATAAACTCATACGCATTCATTGTTAACGGAAACATCCTGGATAATTTTGATTTTATTCCATATGAAAACAAACGTGCTCCTTTAAAAGACATGTTATTTTTCATTACATTTAGAAAAAAACAGTTCCAATGAGTTCGTTCGACGATGTTTGACTGGAGACAGTGAACGAATGCTCTGTTGCTCAATCATCAATGTTGGACATAACACAACGGCGGTCAAACAACTTGCTTTGAACAGTCCATTTACCGAGCGAACAAATGTTTGCTCGTTCAGAACTCTTCGGCCGTCCTATTCGCTAACTTTTTGAAATTTACAGTGTGTAACTAATGAAAAAATGCATATCCACTTGACGATATCCGTGGCCGAGTAGTTTGTACGCCGGGTTTCATGGTGTCGCCGACTCAAAAGGTCCCGGGTTCGAATCCCGGTGGGGGCAGATGTTTGTGTGATGAATACGGGCATTTGTACTCCAGTCATGTTTAAATATGTAAATATACTTATATATGTACAGTATATGTATTCTATACGTTACCCTAGTATCCCATAACACAAGCCTTACAGTGCTTACTTTGGGGCTAGGCTAATTGGTGTGAGTGTTGGAAATATTAATTATTTATTTATTTATCCATGTATGCTTTTTACTTTCTTTTTGTAACAAGTAGGCCTCTTAGTGGCGTTATAATAAAGCAGTAGTGGATTACTAAATAGCTCGGTGATTATCACTTCCATTCCATATGTCAATCAGCATGGAGGAGCTCGAGATATTAATTTTTTTATCACCCATCCAATGGTCGACCACTGAGAAATTCAATTCCAATGATCGCAGCCGAACACGCTAACTACTTGCGCCATCGAGCTCCTCTCTCCAAGGTTTACATGTATTTCTAGATAAATGTACTTATAGATGTGTGTATCAGAACATGTATTCTATCCCTTACTCTAGTATCCCATAAAACAAACCTTACTTTGGGGCTAGGCTAATTTGGTGTGTTAAAAAAAACTCTTGTAAAGTCTGCAGCACAATCAGCGCATCGCATCGAAAAGCTTCAAGAGCAATACCAAATGAACACTGACAGTATGACCGTATCAACCGTAAAGACTTCTCCTCCAAGGATTCGGTTCGTGGCTGTATCGGCTACTGTGAGCAACCCTGAAGACGTATCGGCTTGGTTAGGATCCGAAGACAAGCCTGCCGTGTTCTATAAGTAATAATAAAATATAATAATTTATGCGGAAATCTTTGGTTATATACACGCCTAAACTATGCCTACACCGTATTAACTGCACGGAACCGCCCAAAAAATATCTACTACATACATAATAATATATGGTAGATAAGTTCGTCGCTACACACGCTGTGTGACGTTGACTGCTTTCAAACAATCTCACATTAGAGTCACGCACACATTGCGCGTATCATGAGCAGTTTTTTTGCGTGGTTTATTTGGATTGCTCTATCTAGGCTTGTAAATAATCAAAGGTAGAAATATTACCTCTTTAATATTTATTTAATATGACGGTACGGACTTGGCGGATGGAGGCTAGGCGAAAATAGTGTAAGATTTTTTAGTCACAACCGTCAGTTGTTTCGTAGCGTATTGTGTGTTGTCTAACCAAGTGTTCCACAAGGTTTCGGTGCTCCAGGGGATATGGGATTGCGTCAGGGTAGGCTACGGCGCGATTAATAGGTTTGGTATCGCAAGCGTCTATAGGCTTTGGTGAGCGCTTACGTCAGTTGGGCCAAATGCTTTTTTGTCACCCGTTGCACCTAAAAAAAGTATAAATATTGGCCAGGCTAACTTCGAGATTGAAATGGAAGAAGAAAGGGTTTTATAATCAAAAAGCAATGAACTAGTAGTATAAGTAGAAATTTTCAGCTGTCACGGAATTGGATGGCCGCCGTGGTGTGAGTGGTATGTACGTCGGTTTTCGAGTTGTCGCATACTCAGTGGTCCTGTGTTCGAATCCCGGTTGGTTCAAATGTATGTGATGATAAATACGAGCATTTGTACCTAATTCATTGCTGTTTATTACCTATATAATTCTATAACAATACACTTAGCTATGTATAAGTTATGTACTTATTACTATCCGTTACCCTACTATTCCTTATCACAAGCCTTATATAGACCAGGGTCGATAATTTTTAAGACAAAAAAAAATATAATAGGGCGAAACCCATTGGAAAAGGTAGAGAATATAACAAAAATGAGAGGATAAATAAATTACGCGCGATCTGAGGTCGGGAAGGGGGAGGGCTCACCCCCTCCCCTTTTTTAAGGGTAAAAACGGTTAATCTCGATTTCCGGTAAAACTGCAAGTCCTATGAAAAAAAGTTAAATGGCAAAGTTGTAGGTAATAAAAAGATCTACAACTTTTGTATCGACACATTTTTCACATAAACTCAAAATTTATGTAAAAAAAAAAAAAACTTTTTCACGAAATTTAGTGAAAACTTACCTTTGTATGTCCCAAACATACACTAATTTTTTTGATTTAAAATATTCATTTTTTCACCTTATTTTGACTTAATATCGAAAAAGCACCCTAATTTTCAATCGAAAATTCTCACGCCAAAATATCTGCTTTTTTAAAAAAGTTGGTGTGTTTTTGTTTGTTGAAATCTCTACTTTCTGATGGTATAAAAAATATACTAAAATATCTAATAGTGCTTACTAGTACTTTCGAAATAGGTTAAATGGAGTGAGTGAAAAAAAACTCAGTAACATACCTACCACGGTTCCTCTTTTTTGTGTCTGGGAAATGCCTTACGCATCCTTCAACCACCGGGGGAGCGAGAAGAAGGTATGTGGGACTCCTCCCTACCCACTTCAGCCAGTCCTGAGGCTAGCTGAAGTGAACTGGGCCCCTACCTACGCCCTGAACAAGGCCACTACAAACCAGACAATACTCCTGCACCGTCACCCGACACGTACTATGAGGCCCCCCTAGTGCGGGCCAAGAGAGTGGGTATGATCGTGGCTCCCGTTTCCGAATGTCCGTGCAGCCTACAAAACCTACCTACCTACCTACCTACCTACCTACAAAAGATCATAAACAATAACTTTTTACATTATGTTACTAAGGTTCGGAGACGAATGTCGACCCGTGAAGATTCATCGAGTAGTGGAAGGTTACCCTTGCCCCGACGGCACTAGTATCTTCAAATTCGACATCATACTTAACTACAAACTATGGCCTATTATTCAGAAGTACCACAACGGGAAGCCCACTTTGGTAAGTTGATCTAATGGATAACTATCGGTTGCCCGCATTATATATTTTACAAAGTCTATAGATTATTAGATATTTAGCTCGTATTATGTATAGAGACTGCTAAATCTCAAACGTTAGAGTTCCCATACGTTTGGCAACCCTGCGCGGCATGGCCCCGCCCGCGGCATCACAGGCCGTCGGACAGCACCTTAAGAATTAACAAAACAGTTTTAAACTAAAAACAAAACCACTTTAACAAAAACAACTTTGTCTACTAGTAATAATAGTTATGTAGTCATTATTTTTTTGTAATGTTTATAACAAAAAAAATCGAAACTTTGTTTAGTAAGTATAAAATAATTGAATCTACAATTTGTTTCTTAGGTTTTCACGCACATCACTCATTAAATAAAACTAGTTTTTTACGGATTAACGCACGAAACTCTATTTATTTATTTACGTTTCGTACGTCGTCGGAATCATTTTTTTATAAAAATTAAAAAACTAGTTTTATTTAATGAATCTACAATTCCGCAAACACGCTCCCAATTTCTTTTTTTTAGGGTTCCCTACCCTGTTACAATTTTTGTTACCACTGTGCAAATCAAAATGTGTGCGTGTACTAGTGTACACACGTAAGAAGTGAAACTTCTTTATGGCCTTATTTTTTTCGATAAATGATCTACATGCAACTTTCCAGAAATATATATATAGGCGTGCGCTAAGATTTTTCAAAAACTCACCCACTAAAGGGGTATAACTACACCTTACCTTACCTTACCTTACTTTACCTTACCTTACCTTACGTTACCTTGTGCCTCAGTCTAGGACATAAAAGCCTCGACATTGCATCGGTTTACATTGAGCCCAGGTCAGACGACAACGGCACTGTAAATCGGCTGAGCGCTTTTCTAAACTCCACTGGCGCATCCTTGCGATTGATTGGTGGCGACGTCAATGGCAGCCATCAAGAGTGGGGAGAGGACGCGATGGACAGCCGCGGGGGCGACTTGGCGGCGCTTATGGCTTCACACAATTTAGCGGTATGCAACACGGGTCAAGAACCGACTTTTGAGAGGGTTTGTAACAACACTTTGTATTCGTCAATTGTGGACGTCACTTATGTCACACAAAATCTAGCAGACTCTGTCATCAACTGGCAAGTGAACCGCGAAGCTTGTCCAACCTCCGATCATAATGCAATCGACTATACACTTAAAACACCTCATAGACCGGAAAGAGTCAAGAGTAACTCAACCTATAAATACTCTACATTCAGAGCAAACTGGCAAGCATTCAAGGAGGAGGTCGGAAATAAAATGAGCGAGCTAGCCCGAACGGACTTCAATATCGCTTCTAATAGTGATTTAGACAGAATAGTAAATAAATTCACGGCAATCATACAAGAGGTTTGCGACAATACTCTCCTACATAAATCGGGTCCGAGGGTATTTAACCCATGGTGGTCTGACGAGCTGGAACAGCAAAAGAAGAATTGCATCAGGCTCCACCACAGGTTACATGACCTTAAAAAGACTAAGAAACCTCTTACGGAGGCTGTTAAGACCTATCAGGATGCAAAACAGGCCTATGCGAAGACGCTGTCTAAAACGTCCACCGAACATTTCCGGCAGTTCTGCACTGCGCAAGGTAAGGAGGATGTCTGGGCATTCACGAATCGCATCATTAATAATAATAATAATAATAATAATAATAATAAATATATCTTTATTCAAATAAGGTCATACATTGCAAAATAATACTAATAACAATATAAAGTACAAAATAATGGATGCCTGAACTAGGTTACAGTTAAAATTGTACCTGTATTTCAGGCTTTTATGATCTAAATAATACATTGAATGATTAATAAATTAACAAATTAATTAAAACAGAACTTAAAGTAATCGTTATTTAATGTTGGTAAATGTAAATTATGGAGTTACGTTCATTTATTTACAAATAAGAAGTAATTCTTCGGTCTGCTCGTATGTCAGGCTATGCAAATAATTAAATACTACAGTTCTACAGTTAAAATAGTTTAATGTATAAATACCTAATACTCTATTCAACTTATTATATAAGAAAGGACTTAGGAAAGTAGAGAATCTATGTGAAAATATGTATTTTGAATCATGTGTAGAGATGCAGACTATATCTTTCCGTCTTTTGTTAGTGATATCAGAGCAAAAAGGTGAAATGGTGTGTTGTTTTAATATGGTGTGCATAATGAAAAGCTGGCGAACAGTTAACACATTTCAGTATTTGTAAAGTTGATGCGTAGGATATAAGAAGGGAAGTGAATTGGCTACTTTTAAAATGGCTCTCTGAGCTCGCTCGAGAGGGATTAAAATAGTTTTGAGAGCTCCACCCCATGAAGTTATACAATATTGAATTACTGATTGGCATAAGGCCTGATATACCTGTTTAATTAGTTTTGGACCTGCAATGGTACGTAATTTTTTAAAAATATACATAAATTTACGGATCCTGACTACGGATCATTAAAGATGCCCCCCAAAGAAAACCACCGCAGACCCTGAAGTGCGGCAGCACATACACTGATAGCGGAACGAACACTGCATCGGCACTATTACAGCACTTATACCCAGATGATTCACCCGACAATCTTGACCACCACCGTCGGCTACGTAATTCACAGTCGGAGGCACCCGACACGGCAGACGACTTGCCATTCACGACGGATGAGGTGCGGGAATGCCTCTCGCAAATCAACGCCAAGAAGGCCCCTGGAGCCGATCATTTCACCGCCGATATTTGCCGCGAGGTTTTCGAAACGCTGCCGGACTTCATCACGGCACTGTACAATAGATGCCTCACAACGGGCTGCTTTCCTAAAAAGTGGAAGCAGGCCGTTGTAAAGATTATCCCCAAACCAAACAAAACAAACCCTGATTCACTAAATTCATTTAGACCCATAGGGTTAATCCCTGTATTCGGGAAAACTTTGGAAAAGTTAATGATAAAAAGGATTACTTACCTATGCGAACGAGAGGAATCGCTGAACAAAAATCAATATGGATTCAGAGAGCAGGTATCCACAGTCGATGCACTAGAAAATGCTCTCAACACTATAAAAACCGCAAAATCCGGGAAAAAAGAGGTAGCCGCAATATCCCTCGATATCAAAGCGGCGTTCGATAATGCGTGGTGGCCTGCCCTGTTCGAGCGCCTGAAACACATTAGTTGTCCCAAAAATATATACAAACTTGTGCAGGGCTATTTCACAGACAGACAGGTATCCCTCTCCTATGCCAATTGTACTGCTTCCAAGACAATGACCAAGGGCTGTGTGCAGGGTTCCGCATGCGGCCCTACTTTCTGGAACCTCATACTGGACGAACTCCTCTCTACACCTCTTCCTCCCGGGGCACACATCCAGGCCTTCGCTGACGATGTGTTACTCATAGTGGAGGGTGGGACAGGAGCGGAGGTGGAAACCATAGCCTCGGAATGCCTCAACAGTATCGGCCGCTGGGGAGAAAACGTAAAACTACAATTTGGACCACAAAAAACACAGGCAATCGCCTTCACTGCTAAAGCCAGGCAAAGCAAAATTGTGATGGGTAATTCTGATATACCCCTGGCCAGCCAAATCAAGCTTTTGGGAGTAATCATAGACGACCGATTGAATTTCATTCAACATGCCAATTACGTGATAAAGAAGGCCACTAAAATATTTAAGTATTTGTGCAAATTTGTCAGACCTACATGGGGCATACACTCCGAAAACGTCGAGTGCATATACCGACAGGTCATAGTTCCTATGATTACCTATGCTGCAGGAATCTGGGGTACGGCCACCAAGTTCCATTCTGTGCGCCGGGCTCTCAGATCTTTTCAGAGAGGATTTTCCATCAGGGCGATCAGAGGCTTTCACACAATATCGGCGGTAGCGGCGGAGGCTCTTGCTCAATTTCCGCCTCTCTATCTCGTAGTTGAGGAAGCCCATGCAATCCACACAGCAAAGAAAACGGGATTATCCCCGGATTTACCGGATGACATCAGGATGCATAGAAGAGTCAAGGTGAAACACCTTTTGCACCCAGCGCAAAGAATCACCATAAACTTCGAGGAAGTCTCCACACAAGAAGAAACTGAACAACTTTTAAACCCAGATGCACCCAGTATTTTCACCGACGGGAGCAAACAAGACACCGGAGAGACTGGCGCCTCTTATATTATAATGCTGCCTAATCACACCCACATCGTACGAAAATTAAAGCTCTGCAGAACAGCCAGTGTATTTTTCACCGAACTGTTTGCAATTGATCATGCATTGAAGTGGGCACTTAAGGGAAACCATGCCGAGGTTTCGGTGTTCACGGACTCACTGTCCGCTCTAAAAGCAATCCAAGACCGAAGCAACACTGATCCTCTGGTAAACAGTATACACCATAGCCTTTACAGCCTACAAGATAAACAGACAAATATAAGATTTATTTGGACCAAAGCCCATGTGGGGATAGTGGGAAATGAATTAGCAGACGCTGCAGCCAAAGAGGCGGCTACCAAGAAAACAGCGGCACTAATGAACGTATTCCCGCTATCCCACACGAAGCGCTATCTCAAGGAAAGAACCCTGAACGCGTGGCAGGAAGACTATGCAACAGCTCCGCAAGGAGCAGTCACAAAGTCGTTCTTCCAAACCGTCGCCGAAATACCGGAATTCCGTACAGTTGGGGGATAAAGCCGAGCGCGTCCGTGGGCTTTAGCTCTAGATACCCACACGTGTCCCCTGGGTAGCGCCAAATGCTCGGCACATCACCGGTGGTAGGTTTCGACCGTGGCTGGTAACCACCCTCTAGGCAAAGCCGAGCCGCCAAACGACTTTCATCGTGTTTCGGCTCGATGCCTGGTGTTGCCGTTTTTAGGGGGGGAGTCCGAGCAGTTGCGATGTACAGCTTGCCGGCTTCGGTGTTGCGTGATTGCTGCGCTGGGTGGCTGATCGCGGAGGGTAGCGGGATCCTAAGCACGGTTCTCCGCTGGCCGACCGCAGGTAGTAGGGGGCCCAAGTAGTAGGAAAGCCACCTACGAAAGGCTGCCCCGCCAACTCGCGAAAAATCCCAAGGTGCGCCATCGTGCCGGTTGGCGACCGGATGCGAGGGCCCGATGGACACTTTTGGGGGGGTTAGGGCGTCCCCGCGCGCTCCAGCTCAGTCACCCGTCAGTGTGGCGTCATAACTGCATCGCTTGGCAGTAGCTTAGCAGAGTCTCGCTCATCTGTCCCCTTCCTGCCTGTTCACTCTCTACTTATGAAAAAAATATATGAACGTCAAAAGAAAGAAACTGGTGAAACAGCGGATGCACTCCCTCGCACTAAAAGTGCACCTTGCTAACGTCCGAGGATTGCACTCAAATATCGATAGTGTCCATCACCACCTTGAGACCGATAAACCACATCTGCTGTTCCTCACGGAGACTCAAATAAGATGCCCGACTGACGCAGCTTACTTGCATTACCCAGGTTACATCCTGGAGCACAATTTTAAATCGCGCGCTGGCACCTGCGTGTATGCTCGTGATGACATCTGCTGCCAACGTCTCCGCAACCTTGAGGATCCCAGTTTCTCTACATTATGGGTGCTGGTGAACACAGGTATAGAGCAAATACTCTATGCCAGTGTTTATCGGTCGCACACAGAGAACATGGAGACAACCAGGTTTTTTCAGTACCTCAGCGCCTCCGCTGAAACAGCCCAGCAAAGGTACCCGAGTGCGCAGCTAGTCGTTCTGGGGGACTTTAACGCACACCACCATGAGTGGTTGTTCCCGTTCCAGAAAACCGACCATGCCGGGAGATTAGCGCACACATTTGCTATGTCGCTAGGTCTCTCCCAGCTTGTGAAGGGCGCTACACGTGTACCCGATATTGATAGCCACACACCAAACTGCCTGGACCTTCTGCTGTCAACAGACCCGGACCGTTACCAGGTGGTAATTTCGTCTCCTCTAGGGAGTTCCGACCACTGTCTGGTGAAGTCCGTATCAGTCTACTCTCCAAGCGACCCGGAACCTATCGGAACTAGGCGTGTTTGGCGATATGGTTCAGCAGACTGGGATGAGATGCGGCATTTCTTTGCATCTTATCCTTGGCGTCGCACCTGCTTTTCTTCGGACGACCCGACTTGCTGCGCGGATGCCATTGCTGACGTGGTGCGTCAGGCTACGGAGTACTTTATTCCATATTCTGACGTACCACGCCGGTTTAGCGCCCGCCCTTGGTTTGACGCGGACTGTGCTAAAGCAGAGGCGCTTAAGCATTTTGCGTATCGCTCCTGGGCGGATGCTCGAGCCCGCAAATCACCAAATGTTCGAAGTCTGAAGAAGGCCTTTAACAGTGCCGCCAAGTCCTGTAAAGGTGTTCTCCGCAAGGCCTGCTTCGATCACATTGGCCGTATAGGAGCCAAATTAGCCTCCTTTCCATCCGGAAGCAAGGCTTTCTGGTCCCTAGCCAAAACAGTCGAAGCCAATTTTTGCCGGTCGTCGCTGCCGCCTTTAATTAAACCTGACGGATCGCTGGCTCACACCTCCAATGAGAAGGCTGACTTGTTTGCCTCTATATTTGCGAATAACTCACAGCTAGATGCTGCTGGCGTAAACCCACCTAAGCTTCCTCAGTGTTCTTCTGCCATGTTGGAAGTTCGCATCCATCAGAAAGAGGTACTAAAAACGCTAAGCACTCTAGACGTGAATAAAGCCAGTGGGCCCGATGGCATTCCAGCTATTGTCCTGCGGAATTGTGCCCCTGAGTTGTCTCCTATTCTGACTCGCCTATATCGCTTATCCCTTGAGATTGGCCAAGTTCCGAAAACCTGGAAGCTTGCCAATGTCCAGCCAGTGCCCAAAAAGGGTAGTCGTGCCGACCCTGCCAACTATCGACCTATTGCAATCACCTCCATACTCTGTAAGATTATGGAGCGTGTATTGAACAACCGTCTCCTCGCTTACCTCGAAGATAACGATCTCCTCAGTGACTGCCAATTCGGTTTCCGCCGTGGGCGATCTACTGGGGATCTTCTTGTGTATGCTACCCACTTATGGAGTGAAGCCATAGAGAAACGCGGCGAAGCTCTCGCCGTTTCTCTTGATATTTCTAAGGCTTTTGACAGGGTCTGGCATGCAAGTCTCATTGGCAAGCTTCCTTCATATGGAATCGCTGTCGGACTTTGCAACTGGATTGCAGATTTTCTGAGGGGCAGATCGATACGAGTGGTCATTAATGGCACATCGTCGGATCTGCTTGGTATTAATGCCGGTGTCCCCCAGGGATCTGTCCTCTCCGCAACTCTATTCTTGCTGCACATCAATGATCTGCTCCTAACTCCTGGTATCTTTGGGTATGCAGATGACAGCACAGTTTCGGGGAGATATCTGCCTGATGTGAAGTCTGATGCAGATGTCCGATCATTAAGGGAGGCGATGGTGGAGGGAGTGAATGCAACCCTGGAAGCTGTTTCCCTCTGGGGTGAAGCCAACTTGGTTGGATTCAATCCCTCTAAAACACAGGCCTGTCTCTTCTCGACGAAACGGAGTGCATTCCATCTAACTCCGACTTTCCGAAATGTCTCCGTGCCGGTTAAAGACCATCTCGAGCTCTTGGGTATGGACATCTCATCCAGCCTCAATTTCGGTCCCTACATCGAGTCCATTGCTAAAACCGCTGCCAGAAAACTTGGAATACTTTCTAAGGTCAGGCGATATTTTACATCTGAGCAGCTCCTTAACCTTTACCGAGCCCAAGTTCGCTCCTGCTTGGAGTACTGTTGTCACCTTTGGGACGGACCTGCTCGGTATCAGCTGGATGCACTGGACTCGGTGGAACACCGTGCGAAGAGACTCATAGGCAATGACGCTCTCGTTGAGGCTAATCTTCAGAGCCTCCACCACCGAAGACGTGTAGCTTGCCTTTCGGTGTTTTATCGGTTACATTTCGGAGAGTGTGCGGAGGTATTACATAATTTGATCCCCCCTTCCCCTTTCCACCACCGGACGACCAGGCGCGGCGAGGGCTTCCACCCTTATGTTGTCGAAGTTCCTCCTATTCGCACGAAGCGATTTGCTTCGGCCTTCATTATACGAACGGCTAGGGAGTGGAACTCCTTGCCGAGGTCTGTTTTCCCGGACCAATATAACCTGGACATCTTCAAGGCCAGAGTGAACAGGCATCTTCTAGGCAGGCGTGTACCATCCTAGGCCTCATCATCGCTTTCCATCAGGTGAGATTGTAGTCAAACGCATTGCCTATTTTGCATAAAAGTTGTCAGACCTTCGTTTTCTGTTACACAAATTCTCTCGGGCCACGGTTACCACAAGGCCTATCTATACAAATATAAAATAACACCCGATGATTTTTGCCCATGTGATAACCACACTAAACAGGACATCACACACATCTTAAAAGATTGCCACATATTCCACTGCACCAGAGCTGAATATGAAAATTACTGCGGATTATACAAAATTGAACCATACAACTTACTGGAAACAATAAAGAGCGAAACAGCCACTTGCAAATTCATCAAACATGTCGACACAATAGTGTCACAACTTAAGCGCATCAATGGTACCTAACTGCCACATCGACTAAAAGCATAAATACATAGCGGCGGTCTTGGATCTGTATCCAATTGCAGAATCAAAACTGACCATGATCACAATTTAAACGTTAACTTCAATATATATATATATATTTCTTCCCTTATAAATATACAGAGAACCATATATTTGACATTACACATGAAAAAAAAAAATACCTTACCTTGTGTGAAACACGAATATTTGCCGTCTATACTTTTTTTTTAAAGTTGACAGAAGAAGCAATTGTTCGGATGAGGTAAATAGTGCTCTTTTAAAAAAAAGATGGCGCGTAACCAAAAAACGTGACGCGTAACCGAATAAAAATGTGACGGTAAATTTTTTTCCAACGCCGATAAAGAAGTTTCACTTCAAAAACCTAAATTGACCTACAACCTAACTAGTTAGATATATTGGACTTACCCGTTAATCCGGGGAAAATATATTAATTAATAATGCACTGACTATAACTGCCAGTCGCTGTGCAATTAAATAGATGTTCCAGAGTTCGATTAGCAGACAAAAGAGAATGAATTCGTCTGCGCAAAGCTATTTATAGGGGCATAGGGTCACGTGTGTCTGCTAGCTAATTTCTCTCAAATCACCTTATTTGGTGCGAGGAAATGACAGGACCGGTTAGGCCGGCTCCGCCCATCAAAGAAACTCCTTCCAGAACATTAATGCTATCACGCATCCTACACGTGTAATTTTATTTCACACTGTTACATACTAACTCCATCTGTCGAAACTTTCAAACTCAACTATCAAATTATTCATTCAGAATGAATTCCGTGCTTCTTTAAAACAGATTACATTATTCGATGATCAATATGTATGGTGATAGATGGCGCTTTAATTAATAATATCAATATAAACTAACTTATAAAATTATAATGCTACAACCCAATAGGTAAAATCGGAACCCTATTACTAAGACTCCACTGTCCGTCTCTCTATCTGTCTGTATGTCACCAGGCTGTATCTCATGAACCGTGATAGCTAGACAATTGAAATTTTCACCGAAGATGTATTTCTGCTGTTGCTATAACAACAAATACTAAAAACAGAATAAAATTAATATTTAAGTGGGGTGTACTTATACAACAGATGTGTTTTTTTATGTAATTTGTTCGATATTATAATAAAATGTCTAATGTTGTATATATAACGGTACAGAACCCTTCGTACGCGAGACCGATTTATCATCCAAATATCAAAATTCATCTTGATCAATTACCTTTTCAGCGCGAGAGCCTAATATACAAACTCACTTTTGCATTCAGAAACATCAATGATGACAATGAAATGAAACATCTTTTGCTTCCTGAGAAAAAATTCAGCCTAAATTTTTTTGGTGTGCGAATTTATAATATATGAATCTACAGATATTCTGCAATACCAGGAAGAGTGTCCTACTGACAGCCGAGACCCTGTCTCGCGAGATCACGATTACTTTCAACCCCGAGCAGAAAGCCAAACTAACAGCACTAGCGTCCACAATTAAGAACAAGAAATTACAGGTACACGTACCTACGAGATAATTAAGCTTACTCAGTTGTAATGATTTTCGCTTCTCAGCTTTAGCGTAATTGTAAATAATATAATTAAGTTTTGTAGGTCACTGACTCACTGTTGCGATGTGATTTTATTAAACTTGGGATGAGCATATGCGTTCTCTTTGTGGTTGTGTTTATTTTCTTGGATGCAAATTATGATCTTATTTTGCAATTAATGTACGCTGGATTATAAGGCCACCGTAAACTATACGCTTGCAAAAGAGTTACGGGATTTCATTTGTGTATTCAGGACCGGATTTAGTGGGCTGGACGGCTCTGGGGTAATGAAACAGAGGAGGCCCCTATGTTTATCCGTAGAAATTTAGTTTTGGGGTTTTGTTTAGGGGTCCCTTAGGCCACATCCCCGTCTGTCCTGCCTTAAATCCGGTCCTGTGCGTATTGCTTACTGTAACATCCACGAAACATAATTTGAGAATATTCTGTACATACTGAAGCTACTTATTAGGCAACATTTGTTTATAATCACAGTTTCACAATGTTGTATCATATCTGTATACAGTTTAGAAATAGTTTATAAACAAACGTGATGAAACATTGTTTCAGATACATGTTACCTTGCTCCCTACTTTGAGTGGAGAGCAATACGTAACATTTAGTTTGTAAGCAAAAGTTGACAGGTGGGTTGCGGGGTGTTGATAGTTTATTTACACATGGAAGTAGTGTGGTCCAATAACGAAGTTTCGATTCTGATAGAGCTATTGATTATGTACTGGTACTCTCATGAATTACTACGTAAGTTGCACAGAGCAACACTACATCCTCGGGCGACATCCTAGCAACAACTTTCAAGTGTGGACGGCCAAGTTTCAAAATCAGTGTTTAAGGTAAACTTGTTCATAAACAAATAAACAAACAAACAAACAAAATCGTTTATTCAGTACAGTACACGGATACAGATAAAATAGTTATAGTTAAAACTTACAAAATAACTGATATCACTCCGTATCCACGGCTGCGCTGAAAAGGGCCCAGTTCAGCATAATGTCAGTGCAGTATGCACTGGCGCTGGTTTTCAACTGGGTCCTTTATCTGACAAGTGGATGCCAAACACTAACGATTTTTATATGCATATTAATATAAAATATAAAGGAAATAATAAAAAATGGGGCAAGGCTGTGTTAATCCGTTGCCTTTGCACCGAGACTAGAAAATTAATAATAATATATATATATATATTTAAGGTTACAATACAAGCACAGATTCTAATAAAAGAGGTTATCGCTACAAACAAACACAAAAACAAAGCTTAATTTGAGCAAAGCAATTAAAATATAGTATAATCCTGTATAGTAAACACCATTCAGATGAAATGGAACCAATCACACAGGCAGCCGTCAGCAGAAGCAAGCGCCACCAGACAAAATAAATCAGGTTTTATTAAGGCACATACAAGTCTATAAAGGTGAAACAATGGAATGCCAGTGAGATAGAAACATAACAATTATATGTTACAACGTGATCAACTTGTTACGATTCCACGTAGAAGGGAATACGCCGAGTTAGCATTCAATCAAAACAGTGCATACGGCCCTAAAAGCTGATTCAGCGAAAGATCGCACATCGGTTGCTGCAAATGACGCAACTGGCGTGAACTGCTGACTGCGTGCCTCGTGCCTCCACCGCAGCGGACTACGTGACAGGACGAAGAAGAATCACTTCGATTCTTACATCGATCGAGTCATGACTTAAAATAATTAGATTAAATTTTAATGGTAATAATTTTCCTTGTGTGGGAAATTAAAGTTAGTTTTATTAAAATAATATTGTTTTTTTTAAACCTCCGTCTGTGGCTACCATAATATACTTCATTAACAGTTTATAAACAAATGTTGCTTAATGAATACGCAGCCCTACACAGCTGAATTAAGTTGGATGGACTCAGAAAGTGTTCAAATTAGATCAAAATCTTTTGAGACATGTACTTATTTTCCTGTCTACTCTTTTCTTCTCCTCCTTCCTTCTTCTCGTTTCAGTTCCGACCTCTCTCTCATGTTGCTCTACAGTCTGGGCGTATCAAATAGCGGCCTCGGTCTTAGACTGCAATACTTAAAAAAAATACGAAATGATTTTTAAATGAAAACAAATATTTAAGACCTCATAAATAAGTAATCGAACAATAAACATCTACAAAAAGAAAACAACCCCTAACCCTATGGAATTCTTATAATCTTAGTTATTGCAGTAATACAATACAACTTTAGAATAGGTAGTAAGTACTTCAGCTGTGTACGTTACCGCGCCATACTCATGGATTTACTGCTATCACAGACTGTATTTTTATTTGTTAGATTTTTTTTATTTTTCTGAAGCCTATCGCTTTCCTTTGTTTTTTTTTTTATTTGAAATAAGTACTTACCTATCTTACGTCCTACGAAAATTTTAAATAAGTACCTATCTATGTTTCGGCTCCATTTTTTTAATTAAATACTACAATGATCGTAGCAAAATCCTAGGTACTGCCACAGAAAGACGACCTTAGAAAAAAGTACTTCTTGGTAGTTTTCTATTTTTATCGGTTAGTAAGTTGTCCAGAGTCCCACGCGCCTAAAGAATTCTGTGGTCTAAAGGCCCTTTTAGTCCAGTGTAGGCTTATATTAAAACAAAAAGGGTGTAGAGTTTATTAAACTGGTTTGCCATTCTTTCCACATAGAATCATATTTATTTGTTAAACTTCATATAAAACGCGTTTATAACAGTTTCATTATGAGAAGAATATATTTTTGGCTAAATTGTACATTCAGGGCCGAGCAGTTAACACTCCACACTAGGCAAGGATAAGATAGGTTAGTGTGGTGGGTGGAAAAGAGCGGGAAACAGTGGTTAAGGTGGGTCTGAATACGGACGTAGTGATGGTTTGTAGAATTTTCGAAGTCATGACCTGGCTGTTACTTCTATTTCACAACCCATCGTTGAGGACGAAAGATAGGTTTTAGTCGGTAAGCCCGTGCCTACCGCTTGGGGAAAATTTTGTTTTCGTCTAGTGAGTAGGCAGCGGAGAGTCCAACATAACTCGCTCACCTTCTTGTTCATGCATTTACCCACGTAAAAAAAGGTAAGTGTTTCGACCGGTTTTTTTTTGTTAGTTTTCACCCTTATCAACAAAGAATTGTGAAGTTCTTACTCCGGGGCATAGAAACTACAGTTTTACCTATTTTTTTTGTATGAGCTCTATGACGCAGACAAGTGGTTAGCGCGTTTATTCTGCGATCGTGGAAGTTAATCAACTTTCGTATTGGCCGATCATTGGACGGATGACCAAAATCTTAATATCTCGAGCTCCTCCGTGTTTTGGAAGGCACGTTAGGCCGTAAGTCTCTGCTACTTCTGCAGTTGTTAGCATCCACCAATCCGCACGGGGCCCGCATGGTGGGTAACGGCCCAATTTCCCTATTCTATTCATAGGGAAAGCCTGTGCCCCAGCAGTTGGGATATTAATAGTTTGTTAAGGATTGATGATATTCGCACGACGTCCTTTTCGAACGGGCTTGGCGGATAGGAGCAAGGCGAAAAATATTGTAAAAAGAAACCTTCAGTTGTTTCGTAGCGTATTGTGTGTAGTTGTGTACTACCCTCATGTTTACTTTTACCATCTTTCCAATCGAGTGTTCCACGACACTCACGTTTATTTTTTTATATATTATTGGAATTAAATGCTGTTTAAATTTTCCAGACATTAGTTTTAGCAGGTGTGGGTTGCCACCACGCCGGTTTGTTATACGAGGAGAGATTCAACATCGAACAAGCTTTCAGGAACAGGAACTTGCCAATACTCATCACAACCACTACTCTAGGTAAGTTTAATGATTATCGCAAATATTTTTAACATTAGAAAATATTGTTTGTTATTTGATTAGTATTGGTCGGTAATCCTACTATATTTAATGACATTTGGATACGAATTAATAGGGTGGGTGATAACGACTGCCGATGCAGCCGGGACCAAACATCTAATAATTTAAATATAAATGTCATTGATAAAGATTGAGGCCCACTTGCACCGCATCGCATTGAACACATCATTCCAACTTTGTCAATTGTTTAAAGTCAAATAGAGATAGAACGAGGCTTTTAAGCTGTTTTTGAAATAGGAACTTTAATGTAAGTTTCCCTAAATATTTTTTATATATTTCTGTAGCCATGGGTGTTAACTTACCAGCTCATCTCGTCATCGTGAAAAATACTCAACAGTACGTAAATGGGGCATACCAGGTGAGTTCTATTGAAATACAAAGGATAAACATATGATTTAGAAGCCACCAGTTTATAAGCACCGATTAATAAAACAAGTACATATCTTTATAAAGTATGTATTTCAACTTTTAAAATAATGTGAATGTAACTTTGATTTTTGTCGACTTTATTTTAACCTAAAAAAAAGAAAACTTAACTTACTTAAGTATTGTAATAGAGGTTTGTATGATTTTATTGGTGGTAATTCTGAGTGATTGATATACCGCCAGATAAGTATTTACGAACGGTCGCCGAGGCTTTTCAATTGTGGAAATTGCTTCATAAAAGTTTAGGTAAACGATTTTTAATTTTTTATGTTGGACACTTTAAATAATACTAAGTAAATATAGCTTGTACTATGGGTTCTAGATACCGCGTATATGTTATTTGGGATTCGCACCCGGGGCCACTAGATTCGCAGTTATTAAGACCACTTACTAAGTCTGCAGATAGGGGCCGGCTCATTTTGCTAAGCCCTGAGCTGAACGATAAATGCAGGGAGGAGTTCTCACATATATTCGTTGCAACTCCCGGTTTCGAGGAAAGCGTCCTGCCCTTTTCATGCTTATCGCACACCTGTGTGACGAACCTTCGGGTGGCTTTGGTACTAAAATGCGCTTAAATTAGCGTTACAACTTTGAATTTAGTACGCTCCTTCAGACAGGCTTATCGTTTTCCACAACCTCTTTTAGCATGTCAAATTATCGCCAGTTATCGTCTAGCTCTTGTCTATAGACACGCGACCATAGAGCAACATAGCTGACACGGCTAGGAGGGGAGTAGCTATAATGACATAATACTACTGGAGTCATTCTGCCGCTTTTTGCTGGAGGAGGAATATGCACACAAATGCAGTCCAACATTTCGCAAAAACGAAATTGTAAATACGATACTCACACATTATATGAACACGCTAAATCGAGCAAAGATGAAACTTAAGATTTTTTATTGACAGATTAGAAATTGGTACTGACGAGTCGATTGTTTTGTCAAACAAGTCCGACGATTGAATTTTAACAAAGTAATATGAATTTTGTGTACCTATGATAAATACAACAAGTGGTTAAATAGAAATAATATCTTAATAATTCTACATCTATCCTTTTGTAAGTTTAATATTCCAGATATGTTTTACAGCAAATTACATAACATTTTGACATTTTTGATCTCTAGCATACACTTGCGCGACTTGACTCAGCTTAGTGAAATATCCGACGCGCATATTTTTGAGCTGGCCATAGCCATACAGCGGGAAAAAATCGACAGAGTGGAACGCTGTGAATGCCTGATCGCCTCATAAACCCCTAGCATGAGCACGGCGATATGATATATAATGCGTTTTTATCACACTCAATTGTCAAATTACTTTGTAGTTTGACAGTTAGACGCGATAAAAAACGTGATATAATGTAAATTGTAGTGCTCATTCATCTGGGGCTGGCCGTGTTTGCCGCGTTGCTCTATGCACGCGACACAAAACACATTCAAATTTCGAACTAATTTTAGCGCATTAAGTACCAAAGCCACCCGAAGCTTCTTCTCGCAGGTGTGGGAGAAGTCGGATAATGAAAAGATAGCGTTTGAAGCTTTGAAATAAATCTCGTAGGAATACAGTATAAGTACGGTGCTGCAAATGTTGGGACGCGCTGGGAGGCCGCAGTTCGACACCGATGCCACTGCTGTTATCATGACCAGGCAACGAGATAAGGTAAGATTTTTTTATGTTAAAATAAAAGTTTGACAAACAGATGTATGATCCGTTTGATGGTAAGCGGCCACTATAGCATATAGTATAGACGCTTGCGATACCTAAAATATCTCTCGCACCGTTGCCTATCCTGAACCAATACCCTACCCCGTGGAGCTCTGGAACCTTACTCACTGAAAGAATTCAGTGAGTAAGGTTCCAGAGCTCCATACAAATTTAAATATTGGTTTATTTTAAAATCTTTGTCGGTTTGCTTATCGGCGAGAAAGCAAACAAAAAAGAAAAAAAAACACTCTAGCACTCGTCTTCATAATATTACTTAGTATTACGATCGCCCTCAGAAACATCAATTAAAGTAATAGAAAACTACTATGTATTATATATTTGCGCTATTCACACAAATGTCCTACCGTGATTCGAACCCAGGGACTTTGGAGCAAAAGGCAGGAGTGATGCATTTCGATATTCTCTTTGGACTTGATAGATGTTTACTTTTTGCAAAATACATACAATCTCAAAACAAAAAAGTTAGACATGGTTTCAAATCCTCTTTTGGCAAATTTTGTATGATTTTTTTTCTTAAACTTATGACTGTGTTGAACAAACTTTTTTGTGACAATGAGGTTAAGTTTTTTTTACTAAAGCATAGAAAAATAGGGGGAAAAATATAAATTATTAAAATAATACTTGAAATATATTGTACAAAATCTTTATCATCGTATACAAACTTTATAATGATGTAAGAATTATTTATTATAATTCTACTATAAAAAATATAATCATACTTAAATCTAAATCTAATATTAGGTTTAATATAATGGCAATGATGGCCTTCGCTTATCCTCTCTAATTTAATCACAGTTAATGGTAACATCTGGAAGATTCTCTATTAATCATTATAATTATATTCAACCAAGCTAACCACAACAATTGTAACTCAAAAATCGAAACATAATTTGTTAGGTTTTTACTTTTTAAATAAAATAATAAACTTTGGAATAGGTATTCAATTGCAATATTTGTTTGAAAATAAACCAATACATTTTTTTAACAATTACGGTTGAAGCTAATTTTATATAAGCCCTTTTTAGCCTTTGGCGGTCTACGAAACCGTGGGTACATTTACCAGGTTTTAATTTATTTATCTAATAGTCACAGTCACAATATACCCGGATTTTCGAAATAGGTATATTGGATTGGATCTTATTTGAAAGATATCGAAGTATCATGATTTTATTCAAAAAATTTATGACATAATCATAATATCTTATTTACAGATTACAGTTGTTGACTGTTAGGATTACTTTCGTGTTATCAGATTGGTACAATACGATTCAAACAAATTTCGGCTGTGAAGTTAGCTCAAGTGGTGGTGGAGTGCGTAATAAACGAAATTTAAGATTCGCGGGGGTTTTCACCATAGACGTAGATAATGGACTGAAAGATGCTCTCATGAAAATACAACTCTCTAGGTAGAGTGAAAACGATGGATTAACTGGCATTTTTTTTATTTGAAAAGAGAACGCTCAGTCCTTTCTCTGCGTCTATTGGTTTCACTGAATCTTGCGCATAGTCGCGCTCATTACCAACTTCAGAACCGCCATAAAATTTTAATCGTTCTCTCACCATAGGATATTTTACAAGCTTTTATTTTTCAAAAGAAGTTATTCGGTCCAGTCTTTTGCTCGGTTTACTTTTTGCTTTTTCCGAACGGGTTGGCGTTGTCCTCAAACGTGATTTTGGGTACGAATCCGCTTTCTCCTTCTACCGTGTACTCGACGGTCATGAGCCGACCGTCGGGAAGCAGAACCTTGTACCCGCCGATGACTTTGCCCTGTGCATCTCCAGATTCGTTGGCGCCGAAGTAGAGAGCTTTCTCCTGGTCCTCTACGTCGTATTTGTATTCGTACTGCAAGAGATGGCAGATATCAACATTTGTTTATTATTCAGCTAGCACTTAAAATGGCTATTCGTATTTGCTATTTGTAAATTGGCGAGCAGTACGTCCTTATCATGTTCTATAGATAATGAAAAAGAGAGACTGAGAGCGAGAGTTGAAATCACAAAAGGCAATCTCGAATCGTCAAGTGCCAGATCAGACACTTATTTTGAGAAGTTCGATGGCGCAGTGTTTAGGATGTTTTGTTTGTGATCGTGGATGTTAAGTTCCTTTCGCAATGGTCGGTTACAGTATAAGTGGCATATTATGCAGTTGTCAACACACACCAGACTGCACTGGGCTGGCGTGATGTGATGAGTCATTGCATTTTTCCTATTCCATCCTGATGGAAGGCTAGTGCTCCAATAATGGAGACATTAATATAATTATGGGTGGATGGCTGGAAAAATGTAGTGAAGAATAATTATTGTACAAGCTGACCCAAATTGGTTGAAGTTAACGGGGCGTGAGCTTTTTGGGAAGTAAGGAATATTTACTCAGAATTTCTTGTGGGAATTGTAGACAAGGCAAATAAGTTGTGTTGTGTAATGTCATATTCTCAAGAGCTATGTTTTATATCACATGAGTATGAACACATACACAACATTCCTATATTGATAGCTATCTCACGCAGAGAGTAAAAGCCTTTTTTTATAAGTAGGTCCAACAAATAACTCTATCCCACTTGATGTTAAGGAGTGTAGATACGAAGATAGCTGGTACAGCAGTGTTATCCACCACACCAGCTATCCTCACCTTGCCGACCCGCATTTTGCTTTATTACGTCTCTTTTGAAATATCCCGAGTTGTAGGTGGAAGAACGTGAACACGTGAACGAGCAAAGCATTCCATTTGCGGATAGTACGAGTCACAATATACCTACGAAATACCTAAAAATCACCAGAGTCACCAATTTTCTATGTTCGCGTTGGAATTATGCCACAGTCCTCTGAAGAAAAGGGGAAGGCGCGAGTATAACTCCTCAGAATCTTTATCCTTAGAGCCTACATCTTCTTTAGAAGACTAAAGGTGTCCCTAATGATGATGACGTACACACTACATCAAAATAATTAAAACATTAAGTATATTCCTAGAAATGCATGCCATATGATTGACTTCAGACCCTTTTAAAAAACGATGGGTTGACAACCTGCAACTTTTGTTCTGGACCATAAGCATTTTAAAATACAAATATGATATCGTGAAGAAATAGAGAATAAACCTAAATAAAACAAATACTGAAATTAACAAACAAATAGCGATTTAATTTAAATAGTATATCTTATGCGTTCATTAAAATGATGGTGCAGTATAAAATTATCTCCTGATTTTCCTCTCGACTCTTGAATAATTTTACACTGACTGAAAAAATGCTTCAAACTACTCGAATCATTTGCCATGTGGCGCACTTAACGTAAGATTATTTCACTTTACAGCTATTTAAGTTCTTCTTATGGTTATATTGCCAATAAAACCTACAAGAACTTGTGTCTCATGTCAATTGGCAACAGTACTATTACAAAAGACGCGAATTACGACCATGTATGTACGTTCGAAGTTATTACAAAACAAAATCCCAGTGTATATGTCTCTCTAGGAAAAATTGAGATAAGACGTGGCTACTTTTTACTTAATTTAAATTCTCAACATTACATTTAGAGGAAGAATTTCCCAGTTGATGAGAAGATATTCTCATGCAAAATGTGAAATAAAAACACATCAGTAAAACAAAATTCAAAGCTAAAAACTAAAGCTTTGAAACTTTTGAATTCAAAGCCCCACAAGATTCTTATATTTATTCTAAATATAACGTGAAGATGCAGTTATCTAAGCTTTAACTGAGGAAGACATAAGCAATTTGTGAACTCATTTTTTATGCAAAGGAGCAATCATGTTTCGAGACCACTGCCAATTACGACCTACAGAATGCCCTGTATACGTATTTATATCCTAATAAACCTACTCTGTTTAAACTCCATTTGGACGAAATTAGTATTCTAGTTCTTGAAAAGTACGTCTCGCGTCTGTGATTTAATTAGTTTTTTTTATTGTATTGTTTGCAAATAATAGAGATAACAGTCAAAAGGCGCGCACAAAGGCGGTTAAATACGCAATTGTAACCAATTAGTGAGTTACATCGCGAGTTCACATGGTTAGTATAATAGCTGAGATGCACCGATAAGGGCTAAAAACTAACGTGCCACCATAGTGCACTATGAATGAACAATACTATATCACGGCCAGAGTAGACGAATGCCTGTGAAGTCACGTTAGGTATGTTACCTTCTTATCAGACAATCGAAGTGGCCCTACCTTGAAAGCGAGTAATCTACATGAGCCAATTGCAAAGCGTACGCGAAGATGCCACTGCAGTTTTTGTAAACGTTAATTAGAACTTAATTAAGTAGTAGGTCGAATCGTTCAAATGCCATATCCCAGAAAGTAGGTTAACTAATTCTAAAAGTTTCTGGTAATTATGTTGAAGGACTTAAAGGTGGACGAGCATTTTATACATCTCTTATTTATATATTGTAAAAAAATAATATTACTGATAAAAAATAACGAGCTTACAAAGCTTTATATTAACTATATAGCTACATAGAGTTCTTCGTTGAAAATGAAATAAAATAGGTACATTGATTGTGGTACCATGTCCTGAAATGTTCTTGACTAAAATTGTCTTCATGATTGTACAATTAAGTACCCATAACTTATTAAAGAATTATATCAAGAGTAGTAGGTACTAATTTTAAACCTAACCTAGCCATGAAATTTTATTAATCTTTGGTTTGATGAACTTTAATGAGATAAGATAATAAGGATTTATTCCTTGCAAATTATCTTTCTCTGTTGTTAGAGGAAAAACATTAAATCCTGATTAATTAATCTTATATCTCATTTTAATCGGTTACCTTTCCTGAATACATTACTCTTTAAACGTAGGATTCAAATTAAAGTTACGGTGTCATACGGCACGAAGATGGGTCGTGTCGCAATGCAGTTGTTGCGTCTAAATCCGTAGCCGCAATGTTGTAGGTCAAAGGTATGCACGTTTTGTTTA